AGGACTCTCACATGGCTCTGTCTCCACAAGATCCATAGCTCCTCACAACAGCACCATCCTGAGGAATAAGTCTTTAGCATTTGCCTGGTAAAGGATGTTTACCACATAAACAACAATAATTGACTTATTAATGAAGTATTTTTATGGAGTCATAAAAATAGAATAGCCCATACAGGAAGAAAGAATTGTAAGTGAAGATTCTAACTGAAGAATCTACTCAATAATTACTTGAAATATTTTTGACACAATTCAACCTTTCAGTGGTTCTAAAAGACATATGTATGTACAAATATACATACCATATATATGCTGGGTATTCGTAAATATCAGAATGTATTTGTGAATTTTGTTGAGAGAAAAAAGAGAAATATGGCTACAGTGGTATGTATAAAATTACATGAAGAAGAACATTCTTCTTGAAATGAAAATCTCTACTATTCTTTATAATGAACATTTAATGAGTCCATCTCTGTTCACTGAATGATGGGGCGAGGATTCAGTATCCCTTACAAATGGGCTTAAAAATGAAAATGACAGAATCTTAGTCATATTTTTAAATCAACTTATTTATTTAGTACAGGGCCTACAGGGTCTACAAGGTCTACAGGGTCTACAGGGTCTCACTATGTAAATTGGACTCATAGTAATCCGCCTGTGCTCAGCCTCCCAAGAGCTGGGATTGCAGGCAAGCACCACTACACCCAGTCTCAATGATCATCTCAGCACACCCGGGGGGCAGGGCCATCACAAACCCCAGCTACTGCATCTGCCTAAACAAGCGCTTTAACCCACTCTGCTATTTGGCCGGCCCTAAATCAACTTTTAAATGTTGATAGTAATGTCTCAAACCTAAGGAAAAACTGCCAAGTGAGACTAAGTTGGTGTGACAGTACTACATTTATTTTTTATTTTACTTTAGAATTAGGGAAGGGTATGAATTCCTTAAATTAGTATTGCTGGCATGGTATGTTGGCTTTCTCATTTTTGCTTTCATCCAGAAAGATGGATAATATTTTAACCAAGTATTTCTTTCAAACTGAAGTGAAAGCCAATCTAACTACAAATTGAGCCCAGGAAAATAACAGCAGGTATGGTTTTACTCCTGGACCAGATTTCCATGGGCATTAATGATACATCTGTCTTCTCCCTGAGTTCATTTGAATGAAACCCAGATTTGCACAAAACAGAAAATGTGAGGAAAATATTTAGAATGCACATTATTTTAACAAAATTTGAATGTACATCTCACAGATAGGGTGGATTGAGGTAAGTATGTTACTGACAAATAACCTAAGCAAAATTTCATTGCATTTCAATTGAAGGTACCTTCAAAGCTGGAATGAGAATTTCTTCAAGGCCTTGTACTTCAAGGGTGGATGTACCATTATTTTGAAATGATTGGCTTGAGAATTCATATTAAATCTTAAAACAAAAGTCTTAACAATTACTATGAAATTTTTACCAGTAACAGGTTTCAAAAATTCTTTCCCATGAATGCATTTTCTCCCACTATGACATCTTTCAGGAGAAGAAAATCCTATCATCGCCACTAAATCCTTCTTTAAGTTCTCATTGATCACAGCCTTAGAAAAAGCTTATCAAAAATAGTCCTACACCGAGATAATGTGTTACAGATTTTGGAAAATCTCAACAGTCCATTTTAGATTAAATCTACTGGTTTCTTAGGTTCATGTTCCTTTCCATTGATATAGATGGATTATCAACTGTGCCTCTTAATTAAGGACAAACAATAAGTATTGCTTTTCATAGTTGTAGCACAAATACCCTAACCTTTTTCTTCTGTATCAAAAATCCTATATTTAATCTATTTGCCATTTAGGTGAATAATACAGCTATTGTGACTTCAAAGAATCAAGTATTGACTTAGGAAGAAGCAATCTACCTAGTAGCAGAATTGTATTTTTTTTAATCATGATTGGACTTTAAACTTTGCCACAATTCTTACTAGCTCCAAACTCATAGAAGAGAATACTTGAATTTTTGTCAGCTTTTGATGGTGATAATATATAATTTAGTCTAATTAAAGTACTTTTAATCTGAGAGTAAAAAGCCAATTAGGAAGGAATTACATGCTTTATTCTAAAAATTTTTAAGTAGTTTTGGATCACAAGTGTTAATTATGGTTAAGTCTTCAAAGATACGGGTTTTACTGTTTTGTTACATGTCGGTATTCATGAGACAAAAATTAAAGTCACATTAACTTTTTGATAAAATAGTATTTATTAGTAGGTCAAAGTAGAACTTACACATTGAATTATCATCCAGCACTATTATGAGATAGTACTGAACTAGAAGAAGCAATGTGTTAATGTATATCGTACACAGCTTCTAATGACCCTACAATCATGAAATGTGCCATGAGACGAGTTGTCTACTGTATCTTGTCTTTTCTCAGGTCTTCTGCAAAATGATGAACTAGGGCTGGCCAGATAGCTCGGAGGTCTAAGTGCCTTGCCTGGCAAGCGCGAGGACCTGGGTTTGATCTCTGGTACCACAGACCATGCCGGCCCAGGCTGTGCCAACACTGAGTCTGTGCGTAGTGTCACCGTCCTGTAATCCCAGTGCTGGGGAGGCTGAGACAGGAGGATCACTATGAATTGGAGCTGCATAACAAGACCCTGTGCTAAATAAATAAATAAATAAATAAGTGATTAAAAAAGCAAAAATGAAGAATCAATTATAAGTGAAAAAGAAGTGGATTTCTCAAAGACGATCTTAAGTGGAGCTGGAGATTGAAGTTTAGGTGAATATTTACATATTTCCT